GACTCCGTGAACTCATCAGCAAAGCAGAGATAATGCCAACCACCTCTGGGGCCAGAGTGACAATGAAAAGAAATAACGCGTTCATTCAGCTATATATATATATATATATATATATGCACCTACTGTGTGCCAGGGACTTTTCTAGATGCTGCAGCTCCAGCAGCAAACACCAAGTCCCTGACCTCAAGGAACTAAGAGTCTAGCGCGGGAGAGCAGACGATAAATGAGGGAGTGAACAGAGAGGATCACTGGAGTCGCCCAAAGTGCCACAGAGAAACCAAAGCAGGACAGGGGACAGGGGCTGATGAGTTTGTAGGGGAGAATGACCAACCTCAAGGATGGGACGTAGACTTGAAGGAAGCCGTGGAGGCAGCCTCACAGAGAAATGACAGAAGAACATTCTAAGAAGCGGCAGCGAAAGCAAAGGCCCCGAGACAGAGGCGAGCATGGGGTGTTGGGGGACAGAAGGAAGCAGGTGTGCTGATACCCAGTGAGCAAGGGGCTCGTCAAAAAAGCTGAAATCGGGGTGATGGGCGAGGCTGGGGTCATCCAGGCTCTCAGAAGTCCTGGAAATCATTAAAAATAGTAATCAAAATAATAGCAGAATCGTTATTATTGCCGCTGCTATAAATAAGGGGCCCTTTTCCAAAACACCGAGCTTTTTCTAACTTGAGGAACACCGTGCCGCCTCTCTCCTACTGTTTTTCCGCCACGCTCCAATTTGCCATTCTGCTGGAGTGGAAACCACCAATTCCATTTCGGCCCTCGGCTATAAAAAGACGGCTGGAGCCGGTGGTGCCAATGACCCAACGTGGGGGCTAAGATTAGCCCCGGAGGCTGTCACCTTTCCTTAATGTGAGAACCAGCTGGGGTTCCCCTGCCTTGGAAAACTTCAGCTGTTCCACTCCACCCCGCCCCGCAGCACGTTTGCCAGCCAAGATGTCCATGGAGATGGGAACGGGGATGCGTTTTGGAAAAAAGAAGTTGAGCAACAGGGATTCCCCCTGCAGAAGGCGGCCCTGAGCTGGGAGGCCAGTGCTTGGGGTCAAAAGAGCAGAACCAGCTCCCTGCACTTGTAAGGCAAGCCCCCCACCTGCCGCAGCCACCAGGAGCCAGGCAACCCGCCGGGGACGCCCTCCCCCAACTCCTCAGGGGGTTCGGGGGCATCTCAGATGGCCCTGCCTGTCTGCTGGCACCCACCCAGGAACGGTATCCAGCCGGGATTCTCAGCGACACACGGAAGGGGTCGAACGGCATCCCCTTGACCCCAGTGACCCACTGCACAAGCTGCAGCCCTATCTCACTGCAAAACGGTCCCAGTCAGGGGCTCAGAGCAGCTGAAAGGTCTTCAGCCAAAGGAACCTGGTTCTAAGCGTCTTCAGAGCTGAACAGTTAAGAGTCAAGCGGGCAGCCTCTGGGGTCAAACCCAACACGGCCACTGGCCAGCTGCGGGCTCATCACTAAGTTACTCACCCTCTCTGGGCCCAGCTTCTCATTAGTAAGACTGGGGAAGAGCGGTAGCTACCCCGTAGGACTGCCCTGCTCGGGACAAGGCCTGGAACGTAGTTTATTATTATTATTATTTATGTTCTTCAACATCTCTTGGTTCCATGAGCTAAAATCTTACTCATCATGGTCCTTCCACAGGCCAAAGAGAAGGATAATAATAGAAGCTAACATTTAACGAGCATCTACTATGCGCCAAGTTCTATGAAAAGGGCCTAATCTGTATGATCTCATTTAACCTTCTCATCTCTCAAGAGAAGTCAGTCATCTCTATTTTATAGAAAAGGAATGCAAGCTCCAAGAGGTGAAGTGACTTACCCGGCCAGGATGCCAAAGCCACTAAATGCAGAGCATGGCTTTGAACCCGGGCTGTCTGACCTCAGAGGCTGGGCCTGTAACCACCACGACAGGCAGCACCCCCAAGCTTGGCCAGCCCCCAGCCAAGGCCAGCGCCCAGGGCACTGTGTGTGTCAAAGAGACAGTGTATACACCGGAGCTGTGATAATGCTAGACAGACCATAAAAACAGTAACAGACATTCAGTGAGCATCCCCAGCATACTAAGCACATGCTGCGCATTTATGCGTTTAAACCTAGGAGGCAAGGATTGTTCTGTCTCCTCCTACAGAGACAGAAATCCAGGCTGAGGGAGCTGAAGAACTGGAGAATGCTGGGCATGATCTCAGGCGAGTCCCCTGACTTCTCCTTTGCCGTCCGCCTCCCAGCAGTGCTGGGTTAGAGAAGACTACATGCAGACGGCAGTAGGCAAGGGCCCGCCCACCAATGGGCTCAATCACAGGGAGCCGCGAACATCACTCATCTTATTTAACATGCCACTTTACAAAGTGGAAACAGGCTCTGAGTTTTCCTCCTTTTGAGAGGTAAACTGTGAAAATTTCTACGGAGGTCAAGGGAAGAAAAGCTAGAAAGTACCTACCATTCATTCTCTCATTCATTCGTTCATTCATTCATTCAACAAACACTGAACTGATCCCCTAAGTAGCTTCACAAGAACGTGAGTTCCCTGGAGGGCAGAAAGCTGACTGGCTCCTTGTTCCATGGGGATCTTTGTAGGACCTGGCCTCCGAGTCACCCCTACATGACTCGCTGGACCATCCATGGCCCCCCCGCCCCACAGAAACTGCCAACCTGGATTACAAGAAAACTGTGTATTATTAGCATTTCCCCTCTGCTAATAAGGCACTCTGAGGTCGCACACTTCTTGCGAGGGCCAGCACAAGGCCAGCAGGATGGTCTGCTGATTCAGGAGATGCATCAGAGGTGAGGAGGCTGACGTCATAGCACTCTCCTGCTCAAACACCCATCATGACTCCCTAGTACCTCGCCCACGCGCAGACCAAACCAAGGGTCTGTCTCGCCTCTGCTGGCTCACCGAAGCATTTCCCCATGCTGAACAGCCTCTGCTTCAGCCACTGGCTTGCTCTCTGACTCACCAGAGCCTCACAAATTCCTGCTGTAGAAAATGTTGTACATCATTCCACCACCTAAAAAATAAGCTCCCCCAGGACACTTGAAAATGCGTGTGCCCCTTGAATCCACTACACCATGCATAGGAAATAACCAAAACAAATGGCATTAGCTACCATATCAAGCACTTACTACACACTTTCTCTCTCTCTCTCTCTCTCTCTCGCTCTCTCTCGCTCTCTCTCTCTCTCCAAGAGTTTTATAAGTACTGAACATGTAGCGAACTCCTAATCTCATGACCACCCTGTGAGGTAGGACTGTCATCATCCTCATTATATAGATGAGGACTCTGCTGCCCAGAGAAGGTAAGTAACTTGCTTAAGGTCACACAGCTAGGAAGCAGTGAAGCTGGGGTTTGAACACAATCAGAGTGGCTAAAGAGCAGGAGAGCTTATCTGGCTGACAAAACGCACGCAGACGACGTTCATCACTGCGTGACTTATAACAGCACAGAGTTGGAAGCAGCCTAATGCCCAATAAAAGGGGAAGAGTTAAATAAAGTTTTGGGCAACAACATAATAGAATGCAATGCATACGCCTCACTGTCTGCCTTCCTAACCCTCACTACACCACCACCAGCCGACCCTGTGCCTTCTAAACCACTCCCGAACCCACCCATCGATCTCCAGCCCCCGCGGCCTCAGCCTGACCTAATGTCTTTTTCAATTCTGCCCTGGAGAGTGCTCTCAAAGGGGCCAGTCTCAGGGCCCATCCCAAGAGGAAGCTTTGTGTGAACTGGGAAGAAGCGCCCCGCCCCCAGACACTGCTCCCTCCTGTCAGCAGGTGTCTTAGCAACAATAGGTCCCTCATTTTTCCAGTTTGAAGGGCAGCCCCCAGAGGGGACGCCCTCCTGGAATGCACAAGCCCCACCTTCCTGTTAGAATCTCTGGATCATCCTAAAGGCGATAAACAAAGGAACAAACATCAACGCCCCTTTGCATTAACCTACTGAAATCATGTCCATTAGGAAAAAGAAAAGACAAGGCCTACCACCCATAACTAACAAACGATTGCACAACCTGATACTTTCCCTACTTCTGATCATCTTCTCTTGACCACATGCTCATGGGCAAAACACATTACCAGCCCATGCATGCAAGAAAGAATACCACATGGCAAATAAACAGAAACATTCAACTTCTCAGAGCAAAGGAATGCAAAGTAAAAAGAAGTACCGTTTCAGCAAATTTTTTACATTTAAAAAATGGCGCTTCTGGGAAGGGGGGAGACCACTCCTGATATGTACTGGTGGGGGCCCCAGTTTGCAGATTTCTGGAGGGTAATTTAGCAATCTGTAAAACCCGCACCATGACTCCAGGGTTCCGCTGCTAGGAATACACCATAAACAAACAAACACGATGCGCGTGGAGACTCATGTTGAAAAGATGAATTAATCTTAAAAAGTATAAATTAATCACAGCATGATTTATAATAAAAATAGAAGTAGCCCATGTTTATTGGCCTACAACATCACTGATGCTGTTGTAATTGCTCGACATGTACTAACTCATTTAACCTTGTTAACCTCCTGTTATTATCATTCTCTACATGAGGAATGGAGTCGCAGAGAGGTTAGGTAATCTGCCTAAGGTCACACAGCAAGCAAGGTGCAGAGCCAGGTGTGAACCTAGGATATCCAGGCTCAGAGCAGGCACACTTCCTCATCACGGCGTGTGGTCTACCTTCTTGCTAAGAGCAAAAGGTTGAAAAAGTTTACCTCTGTGTGAAAAAATGATTTAGAAAAAAAAATTGGGGGTGGGTGGGGCCAACCTCCTCATCCAGTGAGACAGCCCAGGTTCCACTAAAACACAGTATGGCACCTTCACGTAATGGTGAGCCGAGCGGATGTCGCAATCACGTGGGAAACGCATCAAGGGCGAGAAGAAAGGGCAGGATATGGAACTCCACACAATGAGATCTACCCACACGTCAATGCTACTTAGAACCCGAAGATGGTGGCTTTTGTATGGCGCCAGCGGACACAAGCAAGCTGAAAGGGGTCCTGACCTGTGGTCTTCTCCGTGAACACGACCTTGGACTCGGCCGTGAAGTTCTGTCCTGTGAGGATCATCTGCTGTCCCCCGTAGACCAGGCAGCTGTCGATGTCTTGTCTTTCCACCATGGGCAGCTCGTGGGCGGATCGCTGGGCTGGGGACAGAGGACAAGGGGTCACTGTGAGGACACTCGCGACAGCCTTTCTGATTTTACGGTGACAAGCTAGGACACGCTCTGCCCACCTCTGTCACCTGTCGTCATCACTCAGTGTAGAGCCACCACCCTTGCCAGCCAGACTCTGCAAATGTTGCATTTTCGGGAAAGCGCTCCAAGTTCTGTGGGCGAATTTGCTCCTAACAACGTATTTTGTTTTCCTAAAGCAAGGGATGGGGGCCTGTCCTCTTTATAACAGGGAAAGGTGAATGAGAAATTATTTTATTTTAAATGAAAGGATAGGCAAAGGACCGACTTTCCATATGAGACGACCTTGCTAGACTGTACTCTCTGCTCCTGCATTTGACGTCGCGCAACACCTTCAGGGCTCACACAGGTGACATGTTGACACCTGGCTCCTCAAAGGTGTGAATGCAATCGCTTTGAAATTCATTCGCACTTTTGGACACAGTCCCCCGACACCACTGATCGGCCCCCCATCTCTCTGACCTCGCTCCCCAGAGCTCCCCCTTCCTCATGCTGCCCCAGCCGAGAGGGGTGTCCGGACTTTTGGCCTCTCTGGGCCACACTGGAAGAGAAAAGTTGTCTCGGGCCACACATTAAATACATTGCAACACATAATTGCAAAAAAAAACAAACAAAAAACAACAACACAAAAACCTCATCAGGTTGTAAGTAAATTTACGATTTCGTGCCAGGCCACATTCATAGCCATCCTGAGCCGCACGCAGCCCGAGGCCCGCGGGCTGGACACCCCAGTTAGAATGCTGCTGTCTCTCAGACACGCTCCGCACACTCCTGTCTTAGAGCGTGTGCGCTTCCCACTGCCTGTCTCCGGGAGGTCCCTCCCTGATTACCTGCATGGCTCCCTTCCTCATTTCTCACAGGTTTCTATTCACCACCTCAGAAAGACTGCCTTACCCCAGGCCTCCACCCTCCTCCCCCGCAGTTAAAACAGCGGTTTCCTGTCCGTCCGTCAGTCAGTCAGTCAGTCAGTCTGTCTGTCTGTGTCTCTCCCTCCCTTGCCTTTATCTTGCTTTACCCTCAAGAACTTTCCACTTACAAGTGCTGTTACTGGTTTAGGTCTTTCTCTCCCCACACGAGCATGTAAGACTCAAGAGGGAGGGACTTTGCTTTGTGTACACCTGTAAGTCTGGGGCTGGGAACAGGGCCTAGGATTTGGAAGGAGGTGCTTGGGAAGGCAGGAGGGAGGGAGAGAGGGGCTGATGGAATGATGGATAGATCGAGGGAGGGAAGGGAGGAAAGATGGGCGGACTGATGAGTGGATGGACAGATGGATGGACGGATGGATAAGTAGAAGGACAGATGAACAGATGAAGAACAGATGGCTGGGTGGGAATATATATGAATCGATCCCAATATATCTTGGCACACATATCTCTCTCTCTCTCTCTCCCCACATCTATACTCTCATCTGTATCTGCAACAACGAAAGATGGAAGAACAGGCAGGCCTATGCTGAGTGCTTTGCTGCAATGATACACTTGAATGCTCACAGCAACCTTCTGAGGAAGGAAGTATTGAAATTAGGCTCATTTGCAATAAATTCAGTTTAAAAATCACGCACATTTGACTGGCAAGAAAATTAAAGCTGAGAGCTGTCAGGCCACCCCGTGGCCAAGGTCACAGGGCAAGGCTGAGATGTGGACCCTCAAAAGCTGAGAGCCCCACCCCTTCGCCCCTCCAGCCCGGCTCCAAGCCCTTCCTCCAGGAAAGGACGGGGACCCTCCCCAGCCGGCCTCTCTGGGCCGGGCGTGAAACGGGTCCCCGCCACCATGAGGGGTCCATCTGCTAAGGCCTCGCCTTGGCAGCCCGGGCCGGAGAGGCCGGGCCTCCCCCCGTGAGTCAGTCTGAGCTCCTGGCCTTCCTCCCAGAGCCGGAGAACCGGGCGGAGGGCCAGCCCTTTCCGTGCCAAGGGCCCATGGACCTCCCCATCCGGGAGCCGGGGCGGCAGCCGTGAGAGGCCCGAGGCCCAAGCCTCACCCTCCCCTCCCGCCGGCCCGAGCCTCCAGGTGGCGAGCGCCCCTTCCTCGGCCCCAGAGCTCCGCTGAAACCGGCTCCTTCAGGAGCAACCCCGCACTTGGCAACATCTAAGGAATCTGTTGTGGACTAGCCAGAGGCTCCCAGACACTTCCCTGTGAGCCGTGAACCTGAGGACTCACAACGACCCCCAGCCGGGCCCCATGCGGCCAGGACAGGCTCCTTGTTCCCAGGGCCCAGCCGGCCAGCGTGGTTCCAGGGGGCTGCCATGAGGAGTACATATTAAAAAGGCCTGTCCACAGAAGCTAATTTTTCCCATATGGGCTGGGTTATTAATCCTTTCTTTTTAATATACGCATTTTGTATGGCTTCCTAATTGAAAGGCTACAAATGGAAGTTTATTAACAGTGAAAAAGAAAAAACAACAAAACAACAGTCACATCACCTGGAAGGAAAAGCAGGTCCCGGCTTTTAAGTTCTGCCTTTGATGCGGGGCGGGGGGGGGGGGGCGGCAAACTGGCTGCTTGTGGCCCCAGGGATGGGTGGAGAGGTGGTAAGAGCCATCTGTCCCATTTTGCAGGTGGAAAGCCTGAGTCACTGCTACTGGACAAGCTGGCCAGGGGCTCTCGGCCAGCCGGGCCAGGGGCTGGACGTGGCCGTGAGCTCTCAGTGCTGGGCGGGAGGCTGGCCGGGCCAGCTGCTCTCTGAGTCACTGTGCGTTGCTGTGAACACAGCTTGATTTCCTAAAGCAACCTCACTGCTCTCTTCAAAGCCAAGCAGTTTCAAGCAACCAACCGCTTGTCTCGTGGCCAAACGTGCACTTCCCTCCCCTTCTCCTTACCTGAAGGAAAACTACCTTTCTACATAAAAATTTAAACAAAACAACGCGAGGCCAGTCTGGCTTCTGCCTGCGTTTGTGCACATTCCAGTCTTGTGGCTTGCAATGCGGGCTGGAGCGTCAGCAGTCAGCACCGAGAGGAGCTCGTTAGAGACGCTGAACCTGGGGCCCCACCTGGACCTCTAACCCAAGCCTGCAGCTGGACAAGGGATCCAGGTGATGCTCGTGTGCCGTCAAGTTTGAGAAGCGCTGCCTAGCGCTGGCTGCACATTAGAATCAGCCGGGGAGCTGAGCGGTGCCCACACCCCAGGCCCTCATCCTATCTAGAGCGGCATTTCTCACACAGAATGATCTAGGGCTTGGTAGGAGGCGCCTGGGAGGGAGGGGTGTCAGCGCTGGATCGGTCTGTGTGGCGGGCTGTCCGTGCATCGTAGGGCCTTGAGCGGCACCCTGGCCTCCACCCTACTAGATGCCAGTAGCGCCCCTTCCTGTGGACAACTGCTGCTGGGCATAGCGGGATGTCCCCTGGGGCCAAGGCAGCCCAAATCATCCCTGATTGAAAGCCATTGTTCTAGGGATTCTGACTTCAGGGGTCTGGGGGGAGGACACCAACATAATTTTTTAAAAAACACACAAACAATCCTTAACATTCCAATGGGCCCCCCCCCCCCCGCCCCCGGTCTGGTCTGAGGTGCCGTCCCAGCAGGATGACCATGCAGGACCCCGGAAGCCACAGGGAATTCCTGGGCTCAGACCGCCACGGTTTCAAGCCCCACCTCTGCTAACGCCCTGCCATGTGACCTTGGGCAAATCGTTTCACCTCTCTTAGTTACCGATGCCTCCTCTGTGAAATCCTAACAGGGTGCCGGAGGGGAGGGGTGTTGGGGGACAGGAAATAAAGGGGAAGGGGAAGAAGAGGCACAAACCTCCAGTTATAAAAAAAAAAACCAAAAGTCACAGGCATGCAATAACAGCATAGGGAAAATAGCCACTATTATCGTAACAACTCTGCCTGGTGACAGATACTTACTAGGCTTATTGTGGTGATCACATCGTGAGGAGCATAAGCATTGAATCACGCTGTACACCTGACACTAATGTCGTATTGTATGTCAACTGTACTTCAATTAAAAAAAGAAAATTATAATATTAGAAGGCAAAACATTAGTAGAAGATTTTCAATGTACTTAAAGAAAATATCAGTTGTGGACCCAGATAAAATATTTTTGAAAAGGAGGATAAAATAAAGATATCATGGAGAATAATAATAAAATAAATAAATAATGATAAAAAAAATAAAAATATTTGTGTCCTCCTGCAGGTACATGAGAGATACTGCCTGTAAACATGTGGGTGTGGTCAGTACATATTTGGTAAAATATCTAATACCAACCACCCAAATGTCCGTCAATGGATGAATGAGTAAACAAAATGTGGTCTATCGTAAAGAAATACTACTCAGCTGCAACAAGGAATGAAGTGCTGATATAGGCTACAACATGGATGAGCCTGGAAAACGTTATGCACGTTGGCCTGGTGGCTCAGTTAGTTAGAGCATCATCCCCGTACACAAAAAGGCTGCAGGTTCGATCCCTGGTCAGTGCACGTGCCTAGGTTACAGGTTTGATCCCAGGTGGGGCGGGATGGAGGGCAACTGAGCAATGTTTCTCTCTCACATTAATGTTTCTCTTTCCCCTCCTCTCTCTCTAAAACCAGTAAACACATCCTCTGGTGAGGATTTAAAAAAAAAAAAAAAAAGGATCCTGAGTGGCAGGAACCAGACACAAAAGGAAACATATTATACGATCCCATCTAAACAAGACAGTTCAGAATGGGCAAAACCCTAGAGACGGAAAGCAGACTGGAGGTTGCCAGGGCCCGGGGAGAGTCTGCTGGTGAGTATGGGGTTTCTTTAGGGAGGTGGTAAAAATGTTCTCGAACTGGATAGTGGTGGCGGCTGCGCAGCATTATGAAATGTACTTGGTGCCACCGAACTGTACATTCGTAAATGGTTAAAGTGGTAACCTCTGTGTTACATATATTTTACCACAATTAAAAGATATGTATCTCAGGCAAGACACAAACACTGAGCCAGGGCCTAACACAAAGTCGCCAGTCAAGAAGCCAGTCTTTACTCTCA